CCCGCCTTCACTCACGACCTCCCTACCTCCACTCATGCTCTCTTTCTCTGAAAAATAAACATTAAAAAAATTATTTTTTTAAAGAATCTCAAGTTATACTCACATTCAAAAAGATAAATATCTTGTCAAAGTTAAATCTCTAAGTTGCTCATTGGAGTTTTTTTTAGCCAAAATAACCTAGAAATAATGCTATAGTAAAGCATTTGTGGGTCTCTGGGCTTTATCACTGTATTTTTATTTACAAAAATAGTTTTAGGGTCTGCCCACCTCACAGTGTCTATCAACCTGATGTCCCCATCCCTTTCTTCCATCTTCCCCCCTACCCCCCAGGGGTGAGGAGAGCCAGACAGGCTTGTTCAGCAAGACCCCACTCCCTGGCCACTGCTGACTCAACCAGAGACAGACATTTGGAATGTCTGGGGAATTTGGAACTGGAACGGAAAGAAAGGTTTTCCATACAACTAGAATATGGCTGCAAAGCTGAGAGTTATGGGAAACCATCCTCTATCCACTGAGAAGCAGAGAAAGCAAGTTAGTAAGAAAATAGAGAAAATGAATAAAAGAGATTTGAGGAAAGAAGCAGAGATGAACAGAGCAATTAAAGGATTCCTGCTGGCCTTCCAATTCTTGGAGCCAGCTCTTCCCAAAGCCTGTCTGTGTTCTGATCTTGGATTCAATGAGACATCCCTGTCTCTTCATCACATATGCCCCTCTTTCTGCCATATGCCAAATCAAATTGATTCTTGTTAATAACCAAAAGAGTTCTTATTAATAAATCACTGTGGTCAGATTTAATAATGTACACTTGTTGGCAAGAAGTAGAAACTATGAATTACTCAGTTTATTGGTTACTCAGGCAAAAAAATAAAAGTAAAGAGGTATAAATGCAAAAGACTGTAAATAGCTTTATGAGTTTAATAACTAGACCACACGCATAAAATCTGTTTCGGTGGTGTTTCGACTTTCCTCAGTCAATAACACTCTCTTAAAACTGGATGGAACCAAGAACTTCAATTATATACATGTGGCTACAGCCTTCAAGACCTTCTAAGCTTGTTCATTCAGCAAACACTGCCTGGGCACTCAGGATATGCTGGGTTCCGTGAAAGATGCTATCTTAGCCCCCAGGTTACACGGAAGAATAAAGAAGCAGCTAGACTATTTGGTGGGGTGGGGGGTTGGGGGGGAAACACCAAGATCAAGCCCAGCCCTGTATGTAAGGTCCTAAGAGGTGCATCCTAGGGTAGGTGCAACCTACCCTAGGAGCGGTCAAGGAAGGCATCCTGGAGGAAGTAACCACAAGAGAACTCAGTCTGGCAGACATCAGGAGAGGGCTTTCCAGACACGACTGACAGCGCATGCAAATCATCACAGAGAGCCTGGCACGTTCTGGAAAGCAGAGGTTCGTCTACACTGGAGAATGGCAAACTACAAGACTAGAAAAGTAGGTACTAGATGGCTGGAGCATAGAGTTCAGTTCTTTAACCTGTTTTCAACAGAAGGGTATTGGATGTTCCCAAAACAGGGTTCTGATTTTATTTTTAATACAATATTAGCCTGAAAAAAGGATCAATTCAACGTCTGTTAGCGAGGCTGGTTTGGACATCACTTCCTCCAGGAAATCTTTGATCGTCTAAGACCAGGTGAGAAGCCTGGTTTCAGCCCCCAAAGCACCCACTTATAAAAGCGAGTACTCGGTAGCAACATTGCCCAATTCTTTGTCTGTGCCCCGCTCCACTCCAGGATTGTGGACTCCTTGCTCATCACAGCGTTCCCAGCCTGGTACAAAGCAGGCACATAATAAAAATGTACTGAGTGAATGAATGCCATCGTCAGATACTTCATCAGAGGACAAAGTTCATTACT